ACACTCCCTCTACAACAATCACCCCTCCACCTCCTACAACAACCCCCTACACCCCCTCTACAACAACACCCCCTCATACAACTTCTACGACAACCCCCTCTCCTCCACCATTCTCCCATACTCCGTCTACTACCAGAACATCAACCCCGTATCTCTCTTCTACATCAGTAACCTCTCCTTCTCCGTCTACATCACGTAAGTCTGATTCTCCTTCATCTTATTTGTTTATATAAAACAAACAGTATTTAAGTATAATACTGCAGCGACTTAGTTTAGAGTCATCAAGCCATTTAAAGATCTTGATAGTAACCAGTACTGACTGAAAATATTCTCCAGATCACTTTTTAAATATTTAATTTATGGGGACCTATGGGCTCTTTACTTATAATTAGAAGGTCTTGAGTTTAAATCCTCTTATTTTGTTATTTTACCCTTAATATTCTCAAAAGTAAATATGGTTAGGGTCTAGTGTGCTATCTCTGACATTATTTAATTTCTCCACAGATTCCACCACATTTTCAGTAATTACTGGTACTCATGGTAAGCATTCAACAGATGGACAGATTAAAACAGGAACAACACAAAAACCACCATGCCCTTGCATTTTGAATGGAACTCATTTTAATCCTGGTGAGTTAGACTTTTTACACACTTATGGAGAGTTTATTATTTATTATACATACATATAATTCATATTTATTTCCCCTTTTTTGTAATCATTTTTTGGTAACAAAATAACAACATAAAATAGAAAAACAGCCTCCTTTTCTATTATATCCTTTCCCTTCACCTCTCTTGGGTGGTAATCACCTCTACTCCCAAACCGTCCCACAGAGAAGCCCCGATTAACTGAATCAACAAGTTGAGCACGGTGATGAACTCACTGGAGCTTAGATCTTGTCGGCTGTATCTATTGTCAAGAGGTAAAATGGAAATTGTTCCAAACAGCATCAGAAGAAATGCTTTCCTTTATACAAGGTACATATCTTTATCAAATGTCATGATCTCAGCAAAAGAAAGTAGAGCCAGGACACCAGTTTCATAGATTAGAGATGTGATTATTCTAGAATAAAAAAAGTACTCTGGACAAAAAAATGATGTGAAGTCACTTAATAAGGCACTGGGTCACCACATGTGGCCACTGCAATCTGTATGTGCCTATACCCTAGAGTCCACCCATGTCTGTAGTTCTGTACCACTCTTCCATGAGAAGTCAATCAACCATACAGTACCTGGTTGGTGACTGAAGTGAAAAAAACACTCCTGGTCATAGTTCCTGAAGACCCCATAAAAACCCAGCTGGGTTCAGATGTGGTAACTGAGAATGTCATGACATACAGTATGGATATATCAGTGTCATCTCATCAAACTGTGCATGGAGGTGTAGTAATCATCCTGGAGATCACCCCTTCCTGCAGGAAAGAATTGCTTCAGGATGGGGTGAAGACCATTAAGTAGCAATAAGCTTTGTCCTTGTCTTCTAAGGGAATGAGTGCATACAAACCATGCCAAGAAAATTGCACTTTACAACCTTGCTGAGCCACCAGAAGCCCTCACTGCTTTTGTAGTCTTCTTTAGGTTGGCCACAAACCTTTTTGTCTGTCATGAATAAGATGAAGGATGAATAACCTGACTCCATTGCATTTATCCCCTGTTCAACAGTCTCTTGCTAGCAGTCTTTGCACCACTGGACTCTCAAACATTGACACTTGTGAGGAGCAGTAACATTAGCATTTTGAGCTGTTTTGATGACTGGAAGCCCTGCCAAATGCACCCCAACAAGCAACCCTCACTATCACTGCTTTTATTCTATTATTTATAGCCATTATTCTAGGCAAAGAGGCCTATCCAGCATTGATATACATGACTCAAGGCATACTGGGATGTCATTTCTTTCATTAGTGCATGAATCACACTTGTGTGGAAACTCTTGTTTTCCACATACTTGGTGTGCCTCATTTATGGAGAAGTTTCTAGTTCTTCCAAGAGTACCTCTACTTCTGTTGAGTTTGGTAGCAAAACAGAACAAGCAATAAAGTGAAAGGCAATAGTTTTGTTTGAAGTAATTTTCAGTAATGATTTCTAAATTCTGAGAAGACTGACCTCACTATTTCCAAAAATCATTTGTGTTCAATATTGTGAATCCTTTCACATCTGACATGGAAATTGTACATGTGAATTGTAGATTTATTCTTCATATAAATAAATTAATTTTTGTTTTTCATTTATTTTTCTGCAGGAATGAATATAAGTATTGTTAGAAATACAAATGGATTCTGCAATTACACTGTCTGTTCTGTTGCTTGTAAGATTGAGACAAAACAAGAGCCGTGTCCTTTTGACTGCCCAACATGGAATAAAACAGTGAGTAAATTCTGCTAATGGTTTGGTTGATGTTCAACCAAACATTGTTGAGACCTTCAAGTAACATTCTCATAGGTTCAACAACCATTTTACACAGAGTAATTTCAGATTCATTAAGAAGTATTCATATAATAATTATAATTTCTTATTCAGGAATAGAATTCTGTATATTGGTATGCACTAGTGAAGGTACTTATTACAGGAAACATAAATTTATCAACAACAACTAGTTGCCTGTCTGCTAGTTGGTTTCTTTGAGTAAATATGAATTTAAAAACTAAATAACGTGTTAGAGTTAATTGGAAACCAACATCACTTGGATACAAGAGAGAGTATAATATGGTACTGAACACTTTGTTTTTGTAAATGATTTGTGTTGAAATTAAAAAGTATTTCATAAACAGTATTATTTCTTGTAATCATAAATGGAAAGATCAAGAAAAAATTAGAGTAATTGTGATACTTTAAGAAGGTCCATATTTCCATATTTATTTTTAGTTAATTCTGCTTATGTTACTACTAATTATGTTACAACAACCTGTGGCACAGTGACTACTGTATACTGTAGGTAGAAATACAATTCCCATAGCATTTTCATAAATGTGGTCCAGAGAAGAATCTGTATTATGTCTGAACCTACTATATAGCCCTCTCACACCATCAAAATGATATTAACCTTAGAACGAGCAAAGAAAAGCAATAAAATGATTGCCTCCTCTCACTGGCCCATGTTCTCATGTAGTTATATATAGAAAAATGACATGGGTCAATAAAGAAGTGGAACAGTTATCTCTTTGCTGAAAATGAGAAGAAAGGAACATTTGTGCCAATACCTATCAACACAGCAGATACCTTAGAGCTAATTTAATCTTACAAATGAAATCCTAGACAAAGCTTTATTTATAATGCAATCCTAGTACAGTAACATGTACAGTAGCTGATGTTGTCTGGCAGTATTCTTTCTGTACATCAGATGAACAGGAGGCTATAAAGTTCATGCCTGATGACTTGCTCAAAAAGTAACAGTCCTCAGAAAATTGTTTCCATGCCTGTTTCAGGTATTTGCTGAATTCATAATCTTGAGCCCCTCAAACAAAACCCAAAGGTAAACTAGATAAGCATTCATGATTTCATTGTAATACATGTTTTCTATGAAATACAGTTAAATGAGGTCTTCTGGCTCAGCAATTGCAAGAAGGTTATATGCATTGGGAATGATACAATACAGCCAGTCCCCTATGAATGCCCACCCACCACAAAGATCTCCTGCTCTAACGGAAGAACCCCAGTGTTGGTTTCCGATGAGAACACGTGCTGCCAGCATTATGAATGTGACTGTGAGTATTCTTTTACACTTCTGCACAAAGAGACTGGGCTGGACTGTATGTAAAATCTCTGTATTTAACAATCTAGGTTAAAAAATATAATTTAAATTTTAAGGTTTTATTTCTGCTACAAGTAAATCCTCATTAATTGTAATTGAAAAAACAAACATCTTATCCTAGGTAATGTAGTGTATTTAGCAAGATGTTGTAACTAATTGCAGTGTTGCACCTTCACACAGACCGCTACAGATTGGTGCCACAGTAAAACAAGATCATAAAGTCAAACTGTTTTTGTGTTTGCAGGCTTCTGTAGTGGCTGGGGAGACCCCCATTATGTCACCTTCGATGGACTTTATTACAGCTTCCAGGGCAACTGCACTTATGTTTTGGTGCAAGAAATCATACCTAAATATGATCAATTTAAGATTTATATCGACAATGTCCAGTGCAACCTGCGAGATAATGTGTCTTGCCCGCGTTCGATCATGGTTTCTTATGGCACACAAAAAATCACCTTGATTAATAAAGATGTCACAGGCAAAGTCAAACTGCAGGTCAGTATGTATTGCAAGAATGTCAAATCATTTCTGCAGTATACATTTCTGCATTCATTAACTTCTCATAACCGTATGAAACTGTTTTCTAAGAACATATACTACATTGATGTGACTTGTCTTTAATTTTGATAATCTTCATAGATTAATTTCCTGACAAGCCAGATTAAACATCTTCAACTATTAAGCTTCTCCTCACAACATTGAGAAAAACATTATTTTTCTCTAAGTCATTCAGCACCAAAGCTGATCATGTGTACATTCAGTAATCTGTATTACAAAATAAAACTAAATGTATAAATGAATACAATATATTTTATTAGAGTTTATTTAATCTAATTTCTGTTTTCACCATACTGTATCTAAGTAATCTTACCATGCTGCCCAAAAAAGTATTTAATGGGCACAGATCCTAAGTGAGTCATATCAAAAACCACATGTGGCTACTGTATATCTTCACCAAAGGCAAGAAAATGTACTTATTAGTTTTATGTATCATCTGAAATTTGAAATCAAAGATTTTTAAGCATGTCAAAAAGAATACACTATTACAACTTGATCAATTCAGCTGTATTGTTCCTGCTTTATTGCTTCTGTAACTTTTCCCTTATTGTTTTCTGTTTGAAGGTGTTGGTAAATGACAATGTCATATCATTGCCTTTCACTGGGAATGGCACAGAGGTCTACAGTGCTGGCATTAACGTGGTGCTGCAGATACCAGAGATTAATGCTGTGGTGACCTTCGGTGGAATCGCCTTCACTATCAATCTACCTTACAGGTTATTTGGCAATAACACACAGGGACAATGTGGTAAGGCCATTACATTTGTCCTGTTTAAACATTATTTTACACGTCACCTGTCAGACACCTCAAAGTGGCTTGCATTGAAAATCCAAAGGAATAATAACCTACAAATGTGAAAGAATAATAAGGGAATGGAAAAGGTTTAAGCCATGACTTAATAACACATGAAATCATGCTTAGCAGAGGGAGAAGACCCCACAATTGTGGATCATAGGAACAATGTCTGGTCCCTAAAAAATGCAGTATGTACTGTAATCTTGTAAATCTGAGAAGAAAACAGAATGACAAGCAGATCTGTCAGGTACTCGGGAATTAGACCAGTCTTTAAACACAACAACACCATTCTCAACTCAATCTGATATTTCCAAGGTAACCAATATCAGGAATATAAAACTGGATTGATGTGATTAGATAATTTAATTTTATCTAAATACAGGAGTGTGAATATTGTGTATTAATTAATCTAACATTTTTTCCCCAAGAAACCAGTAAAGTCAGTTTTTCAACTTCAGCTCCACCAATACACTACTTTTGCTGTGTTTTAAAAGAAATCACTAAAATATTCTACTTAAAGATTCGATGAATTGGATGTTGCAAGCTGTTCACTGTTATACACACAGTCTTCCTCTAGAGTGTTATAAGGTTTAGCTTCTGTGTGAAAAATGATCAGCCATGTAAGGTTGTATGTTCTGAAGAAAAACATCTCAGCAATAGAATTTGTGCCTTCTGGAATTAATTTGAGCACTGTGTGAATAATAATAGTGAAGAAGACCTATTTATACAGTAACTGGAAAAGACTGAGAGAAGGAAATATTTTCTCTCCTCAGGAACCTGCAATAACAACCAGGCGGATGACTGCATGCTTCCTGGAGGCCGGCTGGTCAAGGACTGTGCTGTGATGGGAGACCACTGGGTGACAAACAAGAGCAAGCCCTACTGCATCCCACCTGTCATGCCCACCAGCAAACCTTCAGGCACCACCAAACCCCCCTGCAAACCTGACTCTGTCTGCGACATCATCAAGTCCAAGTAAGATAATAAAACAGTCCAACAGAGACCCATTCATTGACACAGGGTGTCAGAATCTTTTTCCAAAAGATTGCAGACTCCTTCAGTTTCACCTGTACTCTTAATTGAACTAATATCTCACAGCCCCCTACAAAGCCTGTAGAACTCTGCCCTTAGAAGACTTCAATTTACATACCCAAAGCTTATCATAATCTCAGTGAGTGATGATTTAATCACTGATTTTGCACTCTGAACTGATTGTGCAACTGCACTGACTCCTGTTGCCCAGTGATGGACTGCCTGCATGTTGGTATCCGCAGGGTGTTTGCAGAGTGCCACAAGGTTCTCCCTCCAGAGCCTTTCTACCAGGGCTGTGTGTTTGACAGCTGCCACATGAAGAACAGCTCCATTGAGTGCTCCAGCCTGCAGACCTACGCCTCCATGTGTGCACAGCTGGGCGCCTGTGTGAGCTGGAGAGATGCCACGAAAGGGATATGCCGTAAGTGTCTCCACCTGAAGCTGGGAGAAATCTGGTAAAGACTCACACGACATGTGGCCGGTCTGTTTCAATATCTTATAGAAAAGGATAGTGGGTTGTAAGGGATGTACATTCATGTATACTTAGCTCCTGAGAAAACTGCGTCATTGTTTGGTTTGGGAATTGTAAGATCTCAGTCCACAAGTCCCTGCAACGAATTGTCAATACAGCAGAAAACATCACTGGAGCCTCCCTTCCCTCCAGTCAGGACATCTACTGTACCCAACACGCTGCACACACCAAGCCCCTGGGATCGTGGACGATCCCTCCCACCCCTCCTGCAACCTCTTTGCCCTCCTACCATCTGGTAAAAGGTATCGCAGTACACGGCCCAGCTCCACCAGACTCGGTCACAGCTTTCTTCCACAGGCTGTCAGGCTCCTCAACACCCTGGTACCTACTGCACCTACTCCAAATCTGGAAAACCAGCTCTTTCTTGCCTAATGTCAGGCACACTGTCTGATGTATTCTTTGCACAATCCTGTAAAGTAAATTGCACTATGCAAATTGCACTTTATGTACCCTGTACCCTGTCAGAAATGTCTATGTCTATAGGATTGTCTTGTCAGTGTCTGTCTGTATTCGCACCGTAGACCAGGAGAATATCTCGCTCCTCTGTATACTTGTTTATGCCTGGACTGACAAATAAACTTGAACTTGAACAGTTTCATATTGGTAAACTGGAAACATAACAAGTTTATTAAAAGGAATCCCAGAAAAATATTTATTGATCACTTAGCCAAACAAAGCCAAGGGAAAAGTTAACCAAACACCAAAAGGACTGCTGTAGAAAGTAAAACTTTCCTAACACTATACAATGCTTTGCAAATGTTTTTATTCCTGCAAACAATGGCAAACTTTGCACCATCCCAGTGTTCAAGGTTAGTAAAGATGCATCCAAAAAGGCTGGCAGCTGTAATTACTGCCAAAGGTGTTTCCATCAACTAGTGACCCACAGGAGTGAATGCTAATGCAGTCAGCATATTTTAGTTTTGATTTTTCTTTGTAGTTCTTGCTAACATTTAACTTCTTTACTCATTAAAGTGTTTAGATCAAGCATTCAAGTTTTTTAAAAAATATATTCACTCTAAAAAAGTGTATTCATCATTTGTAATTAATCAGAATGCAAAACGGAAGGGGAAGAATACTATTTCAAGGCACTGTAGACTGCACAATACCATAAAGTTTACTCCTCCTGACACACCAAGGCACTATCGATACTATTTTTGCCGGGTGTTTTATTTTACATAACTGGCATCACACGTTTTCTGTTTTACAGCCCCTACTTGCCCGCCCAACTTGGTCTACAAGTCATGTCATCGTGCAAAGCAGCTCACTTGTGATGACAAGTAAGTTATTAGGCAGATGAAGAAAGAAGAATGTACTTTCCAGTCAGGTTATGAACATCTATGTCTGGTGTGTGTTTCAAGTCAGTGAACTAAGTGCAAACTGCAAGTGTTATTGAAGGAAAAAGTGTAAAGATTTCTTCTACTCAGTTATATATTTTTTTATTCTGGAGAACTTCACAGAAGTTTCAAATACCAGTAACAAACACAATCCAGTTCACACCGTTGAAAAGGTAAAAGAGAGAGGAATAGGTTAAAATAGTTGGACAACAGCATTAATATTCTCTTTTTTAATTTAGATTTTATTTTTTTTTCTCAGCCCATACGAAGACCAGGATATCATCCCACTGATAACAGAAGGCTGCTTTTGTCCTGATGGGACTACAATGTACAATAAGCAGACTCAAATCTGTGTAAAAGAATGTGGTGTGTATATTTATTTTCCATTTTGTCTGGAGAGATGCTGTTTGTTTTGGAGCAAATTGAGGAGGGTTAGTTAGACTGCCAGAATAGTCTCCCTTCATTAACTGGTACTGTATGAGTCAAGGTCCCAGACAGGAAAAAACAGAGAAAAGGGCTGCCCTTATCTGAACCTGAATGTGGAATTCTTCGACTTCTATTCTACTAAAGGGTTATTGATAGAAAGCATGTTCAAACACAAGGCATCTTATCACCACTTGGCAAACAATGTTGGCCAGCCAGAGGTGAGAGACTGTACAGATGTTTGGGAACATCTGGAGGATGACCGTGTATGGACAGATTTCAACTCCCTCCTCCGGAAGAGCTACCCTTGCATTTTGGATGTTACCAAGGTCACAGCAGCAGTTACATTCGTAGTTGTAAGATAACAGGTGTGGATGACATTCACCTGAAGATGTTAAAAAGTTCTGAGAAAAAGGGGTTGACGGTTAATACATTTTAATGTTGAGTGAATTTACAGGGCCTCTGGATTGGCAAACTGGGGTGCAGGAAAAAGGATGTGTTCCAACTATAAGGGGATCACATGTCCCAGCCTCTCTGGAAAAGCTTATGCCAGAGTGTTGGAGGGGAGATTCCATCCTTCAGCTGAATCACAAAATGTTAAGGAAAAATGCAGAACCGGTCCCAGCTCTTTGCTCCCTTGAAGATATATGAATGTCTATTGGGGTTGATAATCCAGTTTATCTTTGTTTTGTAGACCTAGAGAAAGAAAATGTCCTGTAGGACCTGTCTCACCATAGAAACAGACAAGACATTGTGTTCTTTACCTACTGTATTCATAGAGCGACCTAATGAAAAACAGCTGTATTAGATTCCTTTCTTATGTGAATGCCTGCACTTATTTCCTTTTAAACTGTCCTCTTAAACTTAAACTGATCTTAAACTGCCCTCTAGCTCAGAGACACAGACATTTCAGAGTTACAGCAATTCTAAAGCATCGAAAGGCAAGTGTATTCTCAGTTCCTCTGCCTCTCACTCCATCAGGCACTTTATGTTCATGATGCTATAGCTTGGTATAAAAATATGTTAATTTGATATGTTTGTATCAGATTATTTGTATATAGCTGATTACTAAGAAATGGGGTTCCACAACTGCTGGTCCCGAGCCTGTGTAGCAGCAGAAGCATTATTAGAGTCCATTACAATTTGACCTGGTCTATCAGCTATACCACCAGACATCTCAATGTAGCAGCCTCTCCACTACAGTCAATAAGGGTCTATTTAGAGCTCAGATTCAGTCTGTAATGTCCAGCCAAGACACCGCTGTACCTGCACCTCCACAGTATCCTACTGACCTGGCTCACATTTGCTCTTTGTTTCCACAGGTTGCATGGATCCAAATCGTAAAGCTCGAAAGGTGAGGTGCTGTTCTTTCACATCAACATACTGTATGCTACACTTACCAGGGGACAACCTGAGCCTTCCCTGACCTTGCCGATATAAGAGGCTGGGAGGCTCTAGTACGAGGTCTGTCTGTGATTCTTCTATTTCTGCCCTAGTTCGGGGAGACATTTGAGTACAACTGCCAGAACTGTATCTGTGACATCAACACGAAAGGAGTGAGGTGTGAGCCAAAGGAATGTCCAGTGAAGCCCAAACCCGACTGCAGTGGGCCAGGCTTTGTCACCACCAGTGAGACCAGCTCGACGGACCCCTGCTGCAAGGAGCTTGTCTGCAGTAAGTTCATTTCATGACCAAAAGAGTAGTCTGCACCGACACTCAACCATCACTTGGCCTCTGTCACAGAAGAAAGGAGGAACCTGCTCTGCCAATCATCCGCCATGTGGCTGCTTCAACCACACATTGTAACGAACAGTTCTTTCCGGACCCTATGCGGATGACACAATCCGACGAAGTGGGGAAACGTCATGCAGGAATACGGGGCTGAAGACAGGGGGGCGTGTCCAAGGTGCGCTGGTGCTCAGGGGAGGTGTGGCCGAGGCGAACAATCCCAAAGAGTAATCCTTAGAGTATCCAAAAAACACACGAGAAAGTCCAAAACCAGGAGATCCATCAAAACACGAAGTTAAAACCACGAAGGCCGGGTCGGAACCGGCGGACAGGGAACAGGAACGGGAACGGGAACGGGAACAGAGGTTAAAACCTTAACGGGACCAGGCGCTTCCAGGTCCCAGACTCGCACGATACGGAAATCAGATGCAGAGCCCGGATGAGCGTCAGCGCCTGGCTTTTAAGGTGGGCTGGGAAAAGGAAACAGGTGCAGAGAATAAAGTCTTAAGAGAAAGGGCTGGAGCACCCTTAAGGAGGGGGAACTATAATCGTGACACACATTAAAAATACATCTTGGCTATGTCACATTTTCAGCTCAAGATGTTTGTCTAAATGCATGTATTCTTGGGAACACGTTATCACTGCCTCAGTTGTTTGTGTTGGTGAAGTGGCGGACAGTCTTGCATTGCCTCTTGCTGTTTCTCTTCAGGATGTAATGCCAGCACCTGCCCACCCACTCAGACGGACTGCCCAGTGGGATTCAAGCCTACTGTCGTTATCCCTGATGGAAAATGCTGCCCAGAATATAAATGCGGTAAAGGCATTGTTTAATTAATTCATTCTGCAAGCACAGAGCATAAAGGAATGACACTTGGTCAGTTTCCACAATGTGTAAAACATTGTTTTGTGAACCACACATAATGCCTGAAATTGTGTGGTCCCTGCTTTATTGTACTTATAAGTCATCTGACAATAGCCAATGAAACAGCAATTTAAAGAAATACTGTATATAGAAATTTTCCTTACTTTAACACAAAACACAAAGAGCTAAAAGAGGAGCTGTGTTGTAGGATTTAGTACCTGGTATGTTTGGAAACCATTGGTTTTCCTTTAACAAACAGTATATGCCGATAACAGATCTCAGCATGAATAACACATTAGTAAAATCTGCTGTCAAGTCTTGCTATAAACAGCAGAACAGTTTCGTGATGTCATAACTGGAAACAGTTTGATGTCAATAACAGAAACCAGTTTTTACAGGGGAATGGAGTCAGATATGATGTGATATTTAAAAACTAAGATTAGTGCTCTGATGGGATCATTTGGTATATAAGAAAATATCAAGCATCAATGATTTTTCTTATGTTTCTTAATGTTGTTGTTTTTTAGAGAAAAAGGGGGTTTGTGTTTACAGCAACACAGAATATCAGGTAACCAGTTAGAGGATTTATTATTGTATTTCTATTCATGTATTTGTGAACGTGCAGTATTCTACAGAGTATTCTCTGTTCTTCCCAGCCGGGATCCAGTGTTCCAGTGGATAAATGCCAGCTGTGCTCCTGCACCAAGGATATAAATCTCACAACCCAGCTCAACATTATCAGCTGTGTACCCCTGCCCTGTAACAGGACCTGTGAAGAGGTAAGGTTTTCAGCCAATGCACAGTGCCTTGTATCTCAAGATATTTAATAACAAAGACTGATAATATCACTATGGATATGTTTTCCAGGGTTTCCAATATGTCCAGTCTACCACCGACTGCTGTGGAAAGTGTGTGCAGACTCACTGTGTCATCAAAGTGGATGGCACCATCCACATACTCCAGGTCTGCTGAGTTATTTATTGTATATATATATATTATTTGTGGAAAAAACATTTTCAAACACCATAAAATAGGATGCAAAAATGAAAATATCTAATTTCTCACACTACATGAACTTCTTTTTCACTTTTCTACCTAAGGACTCCTGAAACATGGTCGAACAGCTACAATGTGACCCCCGTGTAATAAGGCTTCAATTGTGTCCATGATAGTACCATGGACCCAGCAGTCAGAAGTACCATATCAATAATATGAAGACAGGCCAGGATCCTGGTATCAGGAGAGGGCATGACTGGAGGTTCCTAATGCTGGACCAGCTCTGTTTAGCTGCAGTCAAACCAGCCAGCCAGATCCTTTCTGCCACTAAGAGGCGCAGAGTCGTCATGATTCACAGGGATACTAAATGTGAACATGGAATAATCCTATTTAGAAAAATGGGACCCAACCTATTCCCAGCACTTAACAACCTCTGAACTAGTCAGGACTGTTATCTGCACTCTCATAACTGCATTTTGTGATACATAGAACATTTGAGTCACAAGAGGGAGATTAACTCTTTAGTTTCTTCAAGGCTGAGGAGGAAATAAGTCCAGTTTCTTTCATGTCCCTGCCACCTAAGACCTTCAGAAATGAAAATCTCCACCTAAACACGCATCTCAGAAATGAAGGACAACAAAAAGCTCAAAAGAAAATAGGTGGATGGAGCCTTATTGTTGAGCAGGCTTGCCAGAATCCTGGTCAGGTGATCTCCTACTGTTTTTAGCATTAGCAAGACTGCCAGCTATCAATACTGATTAACACCACGTGCTTTCTTCTGTCTTCCAAGCCTGGAGATAATTGGTCGCCTCCTGGAGACAAGTGTGAGCAGCACAACTGTGAGATAATCACCAACACTTTTGTCTCCATCAAAACCAGGATTCAGTGCCCTCCATTCAACGAAAGCAAATGCCAGCCTGTAAGTGCACAGAAACCTAAACTTGTTAAAAACTTTGCTTTCTTCATTTGGATAGCAGAAAATGTTTCCTGCTGAGATTTCTTGATTTTCTTTTAATCTAATTTATATTTCAATTTTTTTTGTATTCATCTCAATAATATCAAGACAGGCCAGGATCTTTTCACTATTGACGTGTGTCTTCCTATCAACTTTCCTGGTCTGATCATGTCTGTTTTACATACCCTCTGGTTCATATTTACCTCCTTTACAGTTCCTTTCACCCTAAATATGCTAAAACAATCAGTTTAATAGACACTGGGATTGCTTTTCAAAATGTCACTCTCAGCCGAGCCAGAAACAGTCATGTTTGTCCAGTCATTTTTTTATTGCAGACAACGCCCTGCTATTTACATCAGATATCAGGAAGAATACTGGCTGATCTTTACAAAGATGAAAGATTTCCTTGCTCACAGTTCACCACTTTACCTCCCCCTATTATTAACTCACTGATCATCTTTGTGTTCTGGATTTAAATATTCGTACAAAAGGAAAGTACTGTATCGGAATCTCATACTCAGATTGTGTTCACATATTTCTCATTTACAAATGCAGTCTTTCACACTTCCCCCAGAATTAAATTTAAAAGGCTGTATTGGCAAATAGTTGCTTTTCTGACACATCTACAGATATTTTAGCTCTTCTGCCATTTTCTCTTTTCCCTTTACTTGTAACTGGTAGCACTGCATTCAGTTGATGGCAACAAAATTTGCATACTCTTAAACTTGTAAATTAGTTTTCTTATTTACTTCCCAGGAATAAAGCAATTATCTCTATAATCTATTTAATGTTTATTTTACATGTTAATTTAAAATCGTCGCCGCGGTTATCGCCGGGTTTGTCCGATATCTAGGGGCAGGAGAGGCGTCGCTCTGAATGTATTTCTGTTAAAACAGCCTTTAAGCTCAGTTGTCAGAGAACTCCCGAGAGAAAGTTGCGCCTACGCTAGAGTCTGGCTCGTCCTCCTCTGCAGCTGATTCACCCGGATCCCGGAATGACACTCTCACACGGGTGTGACGCTCACCTGTATCCCCTCTCCCTTGACGCCCTCTAGCGGTGACCTCAGATATAGACTGATTCTCCGCTGTCACGCCGTACAGTGTAGAGAGAAAACACAACACACAAAATCTCATCTTCTTCAGAAAGCATTAAAATACATTCAAATTATTTATTTTGCACTTTTAATTAGCAATATAAAAGGGAATTAGCATAAGCTAATTGAGGCGGATATTAAAGATACTGTATGCTCATACAGTATCTACAGTACTTGAAAACTGTTCTTAATATGTATGTATTCCCTGTAGGAGACCATTACGACAACTGAAGATGGTTGCTGTAAGACATGTAAGTATTATGAATACTAAACTTAATTAGGTGAAATGATAACAATTACAGGAATCTATGGGCCACATTTATTTTTTAGCAAAAAATATGACATCACATGTTAATTTGTCTTTTCTAATATGATTGATATTACATAAAGCATTATGGTTAGGGTTGATAATGTTGATAATAAAAAATCAGTACATTGTGGTACAGTTCCTTCACCGATTTATTCCTGACAAAGCATTCCAAACATTTTGAAAAGATGTAGGTGGGTTCAAGGTCACCACACCATAGTTCAACGGGTCACAGTCATTATTTTTACTTTTTGCAACTGTTAATGTACAATATGTTAATAAACAGTAGTGATGTATTTAAATGTATCATATCTGTTTTTCGATAAATGGTAAATGGGTGTTGTCATACCAAGTTTGTGGAAAAGTTTTTTCATTTAAAGCAAAATGATAATTTTTTGTAGAGTAGATATCTGACTCATTTTTTCAGACAGCAAGCAGAAATTTACATATTGTGAATGTTTTACTAATTTTACTAAAATGTATCAAGAGAACTCTTTACCTTTATAAGTTAAAATATAGTTAATGAAAAATGTAATGTAATAATTAAACTTAGCACATTCATAAATTATTTCATTGTGCTGTATTTATACAAATCTTAGCTTTGTAGCTTCACATGACAGCAGGCCAAAAACATGCCTCCTGCTGTCAGTTTTTGCTAAAAAAACAGTATATATAAGTCACTGAATGTACTTATTATTTTTCACTTGGGTCTGGAATATCAGACCATGAATGATCATGAAGTGTAGTTTTTCTATTTTCTAAAAATGATTGGTATTGCTTGTAAGCTCAGACCTGTTTGGTACTTGTTTTACTTGTGGCAGATCTCCTCTTCTCCTTACTGATTGAATAAATAAGACTCTATCTTTATTTTTAATATGGACCACATTAGCTTGATGTGCTGTGCTCTGTTAGTATGGCTAAATATTCTATGGTAGTTGTCTTTCAGCTAGGTCCATAAGCCTTAAGTCGCAGCCCGTGTTGTTTTTCCTCACAGGTGTTGAGAAGACTTGCCAGTTGACCACAGTGAAAAGGAGCATCACTCAGAATGGCTGCAAGTCCCCAGATGTCATAGAAATGACACAATGCGAGGGTGCCTGCAGCTCCTACTCCATGTGAGTTTCCCACGAATCACATTCTGAAAGGTGCCCACAGATGGGACAGTATTCTATTGCAGGATTAGCCTTAGCAGTGTAGATACCTATCTATGCAGCTGGGTGGACTGGGGGAGTCAGGATGAAGATCACAGTGAGGACTCGAACCCTTGATCCTCCTGTCGGCAGTCTAAAACTCTGGCTACCAATCTAGGATAATCTGCCCATTCCACTACTGACATTTTTGTTCATTTACTTTGCTTGTAACTGTGCAGGCCTAAATGGTGACTTTCACAGCATGAAAGCACAGATAAAATAATCCAAATATGGATTACAACCAGAAAGGAAACTCCTAGAGTTATCATAATGTCTTTGGATTCTACAGACTCAAGAGAAATAAGGCCTAGATATCACTGATTTGATAAACTGCTCTGTGATCCCTTATACAATGGACAGAAACAAACACAAAACGTAATGACAAGCTAGGTTTATCTTACACTAGAACTTCAGTAGGTGGAGTATTTTCCACAGAAAATGATGTACTGTTATGCAGATAAAGGCTTTCAACTAACAATACATGATCTATTTTGTGATAAAATCTTTTTTTAATTGTCAGGCAAAATATAAAAAACAAACAAAACCATACAATCCCATTTTCTCCTCTACTGCCCTCTCTGGAGCCCAGGTAGTATCCTGCCCTCCATCTCTCCCCTCAGGTTATTATTGCTGTTCAAGTGGCAACTCCTTCCCTGCCCAAAAGGGCACCTCCTCCCCAGCCCGTTGGAGCTGCTCAATGGACAGCTCCACATGAACATTGAGGTTCAGCCGTGCCAAAACAGGGCTGGCAGAGGCTATGCCCCCATCTTCATAGCAGTAATAACACCAGTCAGTCAAATTCACTCCTGTGGCACAGATAAAACTGATCAGCTTTAACTTACTGGAAGTAGAGTTAAATAGGACTAGGACATGATAGCACATAGCACAGATTGCCAGAGGTTAATATGAAGATCTCAGTTTGTTGGCAAGAGCAAAGAGACCAGTTCCATTGTGCAGATCTTTACATTCAGTATTAAAATTAGGGACTGGAACAGACACACTGCACCTCAGGGAACTCCATTAGCTTCCATTGCTGAATGATGGTGTATACAAAAAAGAAAACAGTAACCTATAAATTGTATGAGATTGGAGGTGTTAGGCTGTACAGTACATACTTGTAGAAAGTTTCTTACCATTTTCTAAACTGTGAATTTCCAGATCGGACCACTAGGGGGAAACAAAGACATGCTATAGTGGGAACCTGTATTGTTTTTCCACCACATACTGTACACCCTGACCAGATAAGAAACATCAGGGCTGAAACATAATTGACATTTTTCAGAAAAATTCCAGAGTAAATGAAGTCTTGTAATTTGCAAGGAAAGACTTTCTTCTCATTGTTAAAGCAAACAGGAGCATCGGCATCAAACCAAACTACAGTAGGTGCTATACGAATAACCAGAAATATGTCTAAAGCTGAAAACATTCAAACTAAAATAATTAAATTTGAATCAGCTGACAATAATCCAAAAAAGAAGGATGCAAAAGCCATCTATTTTTATGGTACCCCATGTAGTCAGTGCAGTGGATGGAGCTTTGGTCAACATAATATTTAGCCTGACACGCGTCTGCTTTGACTGTCTGAAAGAAGTGGTTAATATCCTTTTTCGCATGACAGAGGTCTGCTTTCAGTGTGCTGACACACATTTCTCTCATTGATCTGCATGTCTGGGCTGTCTGAGAAAGCTCAGGACTGTACAGTACTCATGCAGGACCATGCCACAGATGGTGTCATGAAATGGCAGAAAAGAAACTTTATGTGGTTTAAGATCCATTTTACAGTACATGACCTCCCTAGATGCTGAAGATAGATTCTGCACAGCCCAGCTTTAAGCTGTGGGATAGACACAACGATATATGAGTTGTTCTTTCTTATGCCCTTGCAGGTACTCGGCTGAGGCTGCCAGCATGCAGCGTAAGTGCTCCTGCTGCCAGGAGGTGAAGACTCACAACCGCACCATCCAGCTGATCTGCCCCAATGGGACCACCAGGCCCTACACCTACATCCACGTGGACGAGTGCAGCTGCCAAATCCCACAGTGCCGAGTGCCGTAGCAGTGCGATCACCTGGAGATCAGTACCATGCACAGGAAGGAAATGAGCTGCTGAGCTACTTGCCTTTGTAATCACATGTTTTTAGATAGATGACAACCCCACTATGCTTTTAAAATGTGCTACTTTGTTTCTGCCTTCTAATAAATTCTTGACTTACTTTTTTGTGAAGGTGTCTTACACATATTCACTGTTTTTCAAAGGGGAAAATAAGTTTGCCCGATCCAATAAAAAGCAACATCAAAACAATTATCAAAATCTCTAAATTATTGCAATCTAAGAGTAAATAAAAGGAAACACTTAATTTATAAATCAGAGTTGGGGGCCTTTTTCATCTCAGTTCCCATAACATACTGTACCTATGTTGTAAGTTCTTCAAATGATATGGCTGTAATTAACTGGAGAAATGCAACAGTGTACTGGAAGACACATTATTCTGAGTCAGTCCAGGTCGCCGATGGGATGTATACTGTAGATGTTTAATGGGAGAACAATGGAAAATGTTTGGGGAATTATGGAGCACTCGCCACATTTTGTGTTTCCACAGTTTGTGCTCCAGCTCTGAAGCTGGACTAGCTGCCTCTCTTCCGAGGGTAAGCTTAGCTGTCCTTGGGAAATCAAGAGTGGACAAACATTAATGAAGCAGAAATCTGTATGCAGAGCAGGTTACATATCACCCGCTGCAATCAACTATTGCTAACAGCTCAAATTCCCTACAGTATACCACAACACACAGTTATGAGGAATTATGCACTCTCCTGTGTGAGTTGGGTTATTTCTAAACAGGAATGTGAGCTGCTAGGAAAAACTGTGCAAACGTGTGTACAGTGCCTTCTGAAGTCCGTACAGCATACTGTAGTTACTGTGAGCATTATCCTAAGCCATCAAGAGCAGAGACCTCCTACTTAATAAACATCTTGCTGGCAAGGAGGGGATGTAGCCGTCAACTGCCTTGTAGCTATGGGAGGTGCTGTTTATCTGGCAAAGCTAGTCTGGAAGGAACAGAGAGTATTTAAAAAGGCTATAAGGAAAACCACAACCTGTGCCTTACTGTACTTCTGTAACTTGTTTTTTCCTATTTTTAAATGCAGTACTTTGTTTGGAATGTTGTGTGAATACACTACATACATTTCTTGAACTAGGGAATCTACAGGCTTGCTTCATTTCACTTGTACTACAGAATGAGCACATGGCTGAGGTCCCACACTGCCAGTGAAACGGACTTGAGCTGTCAAGTATTGCCAGAACACCGGATGCTTCACCACTCCTAAGACTCCTTTCAGTTGCGCTGTTGATTTTGTGTGTTTGTCCAGCACTGAAGCACACAATCCAGATAAGGGTCGGCCCCACCTCTACCTCATACAGGATGCAGTGTGTTCTATCCCCCTGCATTCCTGGTGCCATGGTGTTTAATTTAGCAGGGACAGATACCTAAGCCCTTTGCATTCATTGTGACAGCTTTACTAGACACAACTAAAACACTTGTTTTACAACAACCTTTGCTAATAATCTTCAAAATCCGTGAGCCACATTAAAAAAAAGATTTTCCTTAAACTTACAACAAGCATCATGACCCGCAAACTACGTTTAGTTTAGTCTGTATAGTATACAAAGGAAATAAATTCCTGAAACAGCCATCCCAGGAGCTGGGAAAACTCAACTCTAACAGTTCACAGCTCCATTTACTAATAATAACTCCTTACACTTATACAGCGCTTTTCTGGACACCCCACTCAGAGCTCATACAGGTCATGGGGATCCCCTCCACCCCCACCAGTGTGCAGCCCCACCTGGATGATGCTCCAGTCCTCTCACACACCAGCTCTCAGTGGGGAGGAGAGCAGAGTGATGAAGCCAGTTCAGAGATGGGGGTTATTAGGAGGCCATGACTGGTAAAGGCCAGGGGGAAATTTGGCCAGGACACTGGGGTAACACCCCTACTCTTCTAGAGAGACACCCTGGGATTTTTAATGACCACAGAGAGGCAAGACATCTTTTTACATCTTAGTTTTACCTCTCATCCAAAGCACAGTGCCTTTTTACAGTATAGTGTCCCCGTCACTATACTGGGACATTAGGACCCACACAGACTGCAGGGTGAGCGCCCCCTACTGGCCCCACTAACACTGCTTCCAGCAGCAGCCTCAGCTTTCCCAGGAGTCTCCCATCCAGGTACTGACCAGGCTCACACTGCTGAGCTTCTATGAGTTGCCAGTTGTGAGTTGCAGGGTGATATGGCTGCTGGCTGTTTGTGGGAGGCTAACATCCAGCAAGTCTCTTTATGATACTGAAAATACAGTCCTCTGTCTTTTTTCACTGTCTCAGTTAAGCAAACTGCTTCAGCTGCAAAACTGAACCTTAACCTTAAAATGCCCACCTGGGTATGACTAAAGTATTTTGAATTGAATAACTGAGAACTTGACTGAAATGGAAAGTAGAAGATGTTCTACTGTAATTGGACAGCCAGAGGAGATACTGAGCGGAAGAAGCATTCAGCTATTTTTTACATGAAGCTGGGCTCTTCATTTCACACAGCTAAAAGCCAAAGACTAGCAAATAACAGTGGACAACAGTAACTTTGGAGTGTGTATTGTACTTCAAAACCCTCATTAGCATGAATTTTCCTCTATACTGGGGAAAGGACTCCACAAAATGGAAAAGCCTGCAAAACAGTTTGTATCAATAATCTGTCTGCAGCTGACATCCCATAACTGTTATCTGACAAATTACGCACTCTTTCTCCTTGAGTTTTCTGCCATGCTGTGGAATGGTCTCAAAGTGAAGGACATTTAAAGAGTTGAAATTAGAGTCTATCAGAAGTTGTTAAAGATAACATCCCACAGTAACAAAGATAATGAAAATAACGATTAAGATAATGAAAATAACAAAGATAATTAAAATTGCCTGGAGTCCTCATGTTCTCTCTGTGTTCGCGTGCAGTTTTCCTCGGGGTGCTCCTGTTTCACACACTGGGAGGCTCATTAGCTTCTGGGAAAACTGGCCCTGGTGTGAGTGTGTGTTTTTGTCTGCGTCTGTTCTGCGATGGACTGCTCCCCCATCCAGGGTGCATCCTGCCAGGCACCCAGTGCTTCCAGGAATGGGCTCCAGACCACAAGAATCGTATTAAAAGTGTTGTGATCATGTGAAAAACAATGACTTGCAGTATTTCAATGAATTCAAGATTGCTATAAGATAGTACAGTAAAGGGCATTGCAATTAATGAGTGAGGCACAGTGGACACACAAGGTGAAATGTTTCAAGGACCTGTCAGAGAGCTGCAGTACTGTGAAACCTCAGTACTATCTGAATGAGCATTCTCAGATCAGACTGGGAAACCGTCTCACAGGTTGAGAACTAATAAATATAATTATCTGAAAGCCAGATGACCCCCCACTGAAGATGTTAGACGACTGCCTGAGCCACCCCATACCATCTTCACTGCTTTATACACAAATGTCTTTAAAAAGTGTGAGTTTTTGTCAAGCTTGAGTGTGAGTAAATATTCAATGTTATTTAATTAGTTATCTTGTTTAAATCATATCAGAAGGTTATTCCTTAAGGGTAAATATTACATAACCTTACATACAACACTCTTAGCAAAAGACTGTTTTGCTTTTGAATATGACACACTAAATGAACAATCAATAAAATTTACTGAAAGAGCATAACTTATAAATATGTAATATGTATACAATTCATACTGTAGGTACTTTATATATAATAATATGTATAACTCTTTATGTGTGTCAGTCAGATACTATTAGATCAGGTGCTACTTACTGTAGGTACCCAAAAACTTGCCCTATTTCACAAGTTCTGGGACATGACATTTGGAAAATATTCCCTAAAGGAAACAAATTCAATTTCACAAGTCACATCTGAAAGGTAGGACAGTGACGCACATTAAAGAGGTCTTTCAGCCCAAGCTGCAGGAGCTTTGTACAGTTTGGTTTTGAGAGGTTTGTTTGAATTTTCCCCATGTTCTGTTTTCCAAATGACTGTGCCCGCAGAGTCAACAGAATCATGTGGGAAGATCAACAGAACGTATAAGAGACTAACGCTATTTCATGTTTAAACAGTTTTGATTTACAAATATTAGTAAGTACACATTTACCTATGACCATAGGTTGCTGCTGATTGACTGGAGAGGTGTGTTTAATGTCATCGATAAAAACACAATTGACCAGGTGGGGTCAGTTTTCTGTGCTGAAAAAACATTGTACACGATCAGTTGTGTTGATTTAAACGTTTTCATTCAGAGAAAAAAAGCCTGCACACAGCATTAAGATCAAACAGAGCCAGGAAACACAATACAGAATCCTTTACCAGATAGAACAGTGATGTGCATCTCCTGCCCTTAGGGACTGCAGTCCAGGAGGGTGTGTAGGTCCTTTAAATCATTTTTCTTTTTCTAAAACATTTTAAACCTTTAAAAAATATTAACAACTGAAAACCTTTGAAAAACAAATCCAAGTAACCTGATTTATCAGTTGTATGGGCAGATTAGAGATGTCACACATCTCTTGATGAGCAGTTCAAGGAAAACCCTGTGATTCCTAGGGACAGGGGCAATGCAATGCTAATCAAGAGTATCTGACGTGTGGCACGAAAGCACACAGGTTTTGACATTTGAAATCCTGAGCTCATTTATCCTGGTGAGCCTCCGGTGTTTTCCGGATTCAGTGCTTCCCAGCAGTATGGCAAATGCCCACCCAGCATTGCTCTGGCAGCCCCCCTCAGATTCCGAGTGAGACCTGTCCTTGTCTGGTGCGCTGTGATGAAAGCAGGAAACAGGTCTGCTTTGTGAAAGGACTGAGCACACATTCGGGATGGAAAGTGTCAACAGGAACTGTGTGACGTGCGCGCCTGGAACATCCTGGACCCTGGCTGCGCCTGCAGTTGGGTCAGCAGTGCAGCTCCCCTGTGCGCTCTGGGCAAAACCATCATTTCCTAATCACTGGGCATCAGCCCAGTGTGGGCAGCAAGGGCAGCAAGAGCGCACCCACAACTCCTCTAGCACCCCTCTGCCCCTTAAAGCTAGACATCAGTTTATACTGTATTACAACACTGAGAGCTGGCCGTCTGATAATAATTAAGAGTGTCAAAGGTGTGACTGACAGCATAGCAATACAGTACCTCAGTTTAAAATGCGTTAACCAA